CCTCCCCCCCCCGCTCAAAAAAAAAAAAAAAAAAAAAAAAAAAGCATTGTTTTGGTTTAAGCATTCATGCCCCAGCCAATTCTTTGCCATTAGATACACAGCTCTTGGGAAATCGAAGAACGGCTATGGCATGATTTTGTTCAGTTGGTCTGTGCTCACGTAGCCACATGAGAGAAACTCTTTCTCAGGAAAGGGCAAGGCAGTTGCGTTGAGGACGAGGCCCTGTGGAGATTGTACTATATGTATGGAGGTATAGTCTGGGACAGGCATCTCAGAACCTGGAGCACATTCTGCTGTCCCAGACCTCCCAGCAGAAGAGGTAAGGCTTTCTGTGGTGATGTAAGTGTCTTCTTGGTTAAAGCTTGGCTGTGCATGTGACTCAATCTCCATGTGAGGCGCTACAGTGATGCACTTTTTGGCATCTGCCTCACAGAAGTAGGTGTTGTCTGGGCACAGCGAGACCACTTCTGGATGCATGTCGCACTGGGATATCCCTGCCTTGTTCTTTTGGCCCGGGGAAAGGACCACACTCCCCGCTGGTGTAATGTCGCTTACCTGGGCATAAAAGTCAATGTTTGCTAGTGAACTCGGATTACTTAGCTGAGTATGGGCTGCTTGATGGGTTGATTCAGTTCCACCAATAAGAAGTGGTTGTGGTTTGCTTTCCTCTGCTAGAATAACACTGGGCTGCTTAGTAGCAGGGGAAGCTTCATGGTAAGATGAGTTATTTTGATTCTTCTGGTCAAGGCACAAGAGATCTGCTTCCCCTTTTAACCTCTGTGGCTGAGTAACCTCTGAAGTACCATCACACATGTCACTGGCATCGAAATCAGTCTCCAGAATGTCGGGTTCATAACAGCTGGTACGTCCAGAGTCGTCATCCTTTGCCTCGAGGTTACTAAGTGACTTCTGATGGTCATTGCTTAGAAGTCTGTCTGTGTCTGATCCTTCAGTCTTTTCATCAGGGTCATCAATGTCGAGCTCAATAAATTCAACCCAAGAGTCATCATTGTAGAATTCAGGTTTATAGGTATCATGAATGGCTAAGATTGTGTTCACCTCCTCTAATTTTCCTTCCTATGAAACAAAAAGAAAATAAAGATCTGTGAAAATAGACTCACAATGATTAAATAATTTAGCAAATATCATTTGGAGACTAATTATGGTTACGATGTTACAATAAGAATAATAGTGGGACCAGCAGTTGGCATAATGACTATGTCGCTTGACTCCTATGTAGTTGACCGTGGTTCGAGTCACAGACCCCATGGCTTAAACTCACGCCAGGTGCGTGTGCGTGTGTGCCCAAGATCCCGAGAGGAGAATGGAGGAGAAAGGACTGCGGCATGGCCATTCCCCCTAAGGGGCGATTTTTTGCTTTCTGTTTCTGTCTTTTTAGCAAAAAACTCTCAAAAATAAATAAATAAAAAGAGAGAGAGAGAGAGAGAGCAAGGAAAAGAATAACAGTAATAAAACTAAATAACAAAAAATAAATTAGTTCAGAACTTTCAAATACATATGAAATTTTCCTAATTTTAAGAGACGTAATAATTTTTTTCTCTAAGAGGGCATACAGAATTATCGAATGTGACATATAGTTTGCAAAAACTCTCATCACGTGACAGTATCCATCTCGTGTCTGCCAGTGCCATCTACAAGTTAAATAGATTCATTAAGTACCTTGAGGAGATCTGGATCAATTCCTTTAATTTTTGGAACTGGAACTGGGGGCAGAATTAGCATCTTAATCCTAGAAAAACAAATAAAATTTTAGATAGTTCTTAAAAGTTATATATTCTGTTACATCAAAATAAAGGAATAAAATATGGGCAGTATTATTTCTTATTCCAAATATTTTGGTACTTTATGTAAATATACTATGAGAAAGAGAAGGAAATTATTAAGTGGTAGATGACAAAGAAAAACTATAGAAGAAAGAAAAAAAATGACAAAAAACAACAAAAAAGCCCTCATCTGAAGTCCCTTTGAATAGAATGTGGGTTTTCTTCTTAAAGCTTCTTATTGACAGCCAACTTAAAAATGAAAAAAAATTTAATTCCATCTGAAGCCAATTTTCATGTCAGCTATAAGACAGGCAATTGTTTTTATTTATTTATTTTTATCATTTTTTTTTTTTTTGGAGAGGTTTTTGCTATAGTGCACGTGTGCTTGCCAGAAAGAGAGAGACAGAGAGATAGAAACTGAGAAATCACCCCCCCCGGGGGGATAGCCATGCCGCAATTCCTTCTCTTCCATTCTCCTCTCCGGATCTTGGGCACGCACGCACACGTGCCCACAGTAAGTTTAAGCCACCAGGTCTGGGACTCGAACTGTGGTCGAATACATGGGAGTTCGGTGACATAGCCATTATGCTAACTGCTGGTCCCAAGACAAGCAATTGTAACTCACATCTCATCATAAATTTTCAGAGAAAATAAAGAGAAAAAAGCCAATTCATATGGAGCTCAAATTATTGGTACCTTTGGAAAAGAGTGGAATGGGGATTCGTTAGCACACAGAGGTCACTTTAATTATAACAATAGTAAAGATGACTCATTATCCTGGGTGTTATTATGGGGTTCATTTCAGATGGAACTATATATATGTATTTTTTTTTTTTGAGAGGTTTTTGCTATAGGGCGCGTGGGCTCACCAGAAAGACAGAGACAGAAAGAGAGATAGAAAGCGAGAAATCACCCCCCAGGGGGGATGGCCACTCTGCAATCCCTTCTCCTCCATTCTCCTCTTGGGATCTTGGGCACACACGCACACGCGCCTGGTGTGAGTTTAAGTTACTGGGTCCAGGATTCAAACCGCAGTCAGCTACATGGGAGTTCAGCGACATAGCCATTACCCTAACTGCTGGTCCCCAGATGGAACTATATTTGACTCTCTCTAGTCTGTACAGAATTATTCACACAGTTTTGTATGATTCACTTAGATGTTCTGTTCTAAATATTTAAACTATTTTTTAAATTGTAATTAGTCTCAATGTCTATCCTGCCTGTCTTGTGCCTTGTTGTGTCTCCAGGATTTAATACAATTCTTGACACGGATTTAATACAATTCTTGACACAGGGACAGTGCTGATTGAGCATGTCCTGAATAAATTTAAAGAATTGACCTATGTGTTTAATAATAACAGGGTTTAGGTCTTAAAATCAACACTATTGCTCTGGAAAAAAAGCTTGAGATTACCCATTCCAACCAACTCTTTTTACTGTTTAAAAAGACTCCCAAGTGCTCAGAGATGGATACCTTTGGTCAGGGATAGTAAGCTGATGTTTGAATATCAGGTGATATTCCACTCATGTTAGTGGTCAATCTAGTTTCTTTAATAAGGAAGCTGTTTTCTGCATATTTCTCTCTGCTTCTGTCTGTCATTTTACTGAAGTCAAGGAACAGGCCAAATTCTTTTTTTTTTTTTTTTTTTTTTTTTGGCGGGGAAAGGACCACACTCCCCGCTGGTGTAATGTCGCTTACCTGGGCATAAAAGTCAATGTTTGCTAGTGAACTCGGATTACTTAGCTGAGTATGGGCTGCTTGATGGGTTGATTCAGTTCCACCAATAAGAAGTGGTTGTGGTTTGCTTTCCTCTGCTAGAATAACACTGGGCTGCTTAGTAGCAGGGGAAGCTTCATGGTAAGATGAGTTATTTTGATTCTTCTGGTCAAGGCACAAGAGATCTGCTTCCCCTTTTAACCTCTGTGGCTGAGTAACCTCTGAAGTACCATCACACATGTCACTGGCATCGAAATCAGTCTCCAGAATGTCGGGTTCATAACAGCTGGTACGTCCAGAGTCGTCATCCTTTGCCTCGAGGTTACTAAGTGACTTCTGATGGTCATTGCTTAGAAGTCTGTCTGTGTCTGATCCTTCAGTCTTTTCATCAGGGTCATCAATGTCGAGCTCAATAAATTCAACCCAAGAGTCATCATTGTAGAATTCAGGTTTATAGGTATCATGAATGGCTAAGATTGTGTTCACCTCCTCTAATTTTCCTTCCTATGAAACAAAAAGAAAATAAAGATCTGTGAAAATAGACTCACAATGATTAAATAATTTAGCAAATATCATTTGGAGACTAATTATGGTTACGATGTTACAATAAGAATAATAGTGGGACCAGCAGTTGGCATAATGACTATGTCGCTTGACTCCTATGTAGTTGACCGTGGTTCGAGTCACAGACCCCATGGCTTAAACTCACGCCAGGTGCGTGTGCGTGTGTGCCCAAGATCCCGAGAGGAGAATGGAGGAGAAAGGACTGCGGCATGGCCATTCCCCCTAAGGGGCGATTTTTTGCTTTCTGTTTCTGTCTTTTTAGCAAAAAACTCTCAAAAATAAATAAATAAAAAGAGAGAGAGAGAGAGAGAGCAAGGAAAAGAATAACAGTAATAAAACTAAATAACAAAAAATAAATTAGTTCAGAACTTTCAAATACATATGAAATTTTCCTAATTTTAAGAGACGTAATAATTTTTTTCTCTAAGAGGGCATACAGAATTATCGAATGTGACATATAGTTTGCAAAAACTCTCATCACGTGACAGTATCCATCTCGTGTCTGCCAGTGCCATCTACAAGTTAAATAGATTCATTAAGTACCTTGAGGAGATCTGGATCAATTCCTTTAATTTTTGGAACTGGAACTGGGGGCAGAATTAGCATCTTAATCCTAGAAAAACAAATAAAATTTTAGATAGTTCTTAAAAGTTATATATTCTGTTACATCAAAATAAAGGAATAAAATATGGGCAGTATTATTTCTTATTCCAAATATTTTGGTACTTTATGTAAATATACTATGAGAAAGAGAAGGAAATTATTAAGTGGTAGATGACAAAGAAAAACTATAGAAGAAAGAAAAAAAATGACAAAAAACAACAAAAAAGCCCTCATCTGAAGTCCCTTTGAATAGAATGTGGGTTTTCTTCTTAAAGCTTCTTATTGACAGCCAACTTAAAAATGAAAAAAAATTTAATTCCATCTGAAGCCAATTTTCATGTCAGCTATAAGACAGGCAATTGTTTTTATTTATTTATTTTTATCATTTTTTTTTTTTTTGGAGAGGTTTTTGCTATAGTGCACGTGTGCTTGCCAGAAAGAGAGAGACAGAGAGATAGAAACTGAGAAATCACCCCCCCCGGGGGGATAGCCATGCCGCAATTCCTTCTCTTCCATTCTCCTCTCCGGATCTTGGGCACGCACGCACACGTGCCCACAGTAAGTTTAAGCCACCAGGTCTGGGACTCGAACTGTGGTCGAATACATGGGAGTTCGGTGACATAGCCATTATGCTAACTGCTGGTCCCAAGACAAGCAATTGTAACTCACATCTCATCATAAATTTTCAGAGAAAATAAAGAGAAAAAAGCCAATTCATATGGAGCTCAAATTATTGGTACCTTTGGAAAAGAGTGGAATGGGGATTCGTTAGCACACAGAGGTCACTTTAATTATAACAATAGTAAAGATGACTCATTATCCTGGGTGTTATTATGGGGTTCATTTCAGATGGAACTATATATATGTATTTTTTTTTTTTGAGAGGTTTTTGCTATAGGGCGCGTGGGCTCACCAGAAAGACAGAGACAGAAAGAGAGATAGAAAGCGAGAAATCACCCCCCAGGGGGGATGGCCACTCTGCAATCCCTTCTCCTCCATTCTCCTCTTGGGATCTTGGGCACACACGCACACGCGCCTGGTGTGAGTTTAAGTTACTGGGTCCAGGATTCAAACCGCAGTCAGCTACATGGGAGTTCAGCGACATAGCCATTACCCTAACTGCTGGTCCCCAGATGGAACTATATTTGACTCTCTCTAGTCTGTACAGAATTATTCACACAGTTTTGTATGATTCACTTAGATGTTCTGTTCTAAATATTTAAACTATTTTTTAAATTGTAATTAGTCTCAATGTCTATCCTGCCTGTCTTGTGCCTTGTTGTGTCTCCAGGATTTAATACAATTCTTGACACGGATTTAATACAATTCTTGACACAGGGACAGTGCTGATTGAGCATGTCCTGAATAAATTTAAAGAATTGACCTATGTGTTTAATAATAACAGGGTTTAGGTCTTAAAATCAACACTATTGCTCTGGAAAAAAAGCTTGAGATTACCCATTCCAACCAACTCTTTTTACTGTTTAAAAAGACTCCCAAGTGCTCAGAGATGGATACCTTTGGTCAGGGATAGTAAGCTGATGTTTGAATATCAGGTGATATTCCACTCATGTTAGTGGTCAATCTAGTTTCTTTAATAAGGAAGCTGTTTTCTGCATATTTCTCTCTGCTTCTGTCTGTCATTTTACTGAAGTCAAGGAACAGGCCAAATTCTTTTTTTTTTTTTTTTTTTTTAGTGAAGAAACAGGCCAAATTTTTTTTTTTTTTTTTTTTTTTTTTTTGAGAGGTTTCTGCTATAGGGCACATGTGTTTACCAGAAAGACAGAGAGAGAGACAGAGAGACAGAAAGTGAGAAATCACCCCCCGGGGTGATGGCCATGCCACAATCCCTTCTCCTCCATTCTCCTCTCAGGATCTTGGGCATCAATACACACATGCCTGGCATGAGTTTAAGCCACTGGGTCTTGGACTCGAACCACAGTCGACTACATGGGAGTCCAGGGACATAGCCATTACACCAACTGTTGGTCTCTCATTTTTTTTTTAAGAGAGAGATTTTTGGTATAGGGCGTATGTGCCTGCTGGAGAGACAGAGAGACAGAAAGCAAGAAATCACCCAGTAGGGGAAATGGCTATGCCACAGTTCTTCTCCCCCAATTATCATCTTTGGGATTTTGGGCATGCATGCACACATGCCCGGTGTGAGTTTTAAGCCACTGGGTCTGGGACTTGAACTGCGGGTCAACTATGTAGGAGTACAGTGACATAACCACTAGAACATCTGCTGGTTCCCAAATTCCATTTCTTAAGTTTCTTCGAGTAGCCTCTACTTTGACTATTCAGTGGGTTAAGTGTTGAAAAACCTGTTACTGATAAATAGCAGGCATAGAAATAAATAAGTTATTGATAACTGCTATGATTCTTAATGTTTCTGCTAAACCCAAGCAGAACATACAAATTAATAAAGTAGGCTAACAGCAATGAGTTGTACTTTACACTAAACTATGGGTTGGCAAATGATGGCATATTGGTCACACCTAGCCTGACACTTGTTTTGGTAGGTAAATTTCACTGGAACACAACAACATTCATGGATTTATATTGTCAATGGCTGCTTTCATGTCATGGTGGTGAAGCTGAGTAGTTGTGACAGAGAATATATGGCCTGAAAGCCTAAACATTTCTTATCTGACTCTCTATAAAACAAGTTTGTTGTCTTTTGCACAAACATTTTATCTAATCCTTATGACTACCACCTTAAAACTGCCAGGGAGGCAAATGATACTGTCTATGCAAAGATTTGGAGAATTAAGGAACATGTTCAAATTATGAACTAATACTTGGCACAGCTGTCAGCTCAAACGCAGAGTATTTAACTCTAAAACTGAGGCTGTCTGCCAGTTCTGATGCTGTATCTTTTGGTCTGCATCTCTAAATGCTTACAGCCAGACTTCTGTAACCTTGGGATCTGTGTTATTAGCAGGTTCAACCAATCATGGATTAAAAATGTTGTCATTATTCCCTAAAAATTACAGTGTAACAACTATTTATGTGGCATTTACATTGTATTAGGTATTGTAAGTGATCTGGAGATAATCCACAGTATACAAAAGGATACGTGTAAATTGTATACAAATGCTACACCATTTTACCTAAGGAACTTAAGGATCTGAAGATTTTGACAACTGCTGATGTTTTTTAACTTGTTAAAAACAGACAAAAAAGGTGTATCATAACTCTAAATATGAGAAGTAAAGAGCCTTAAATGACTAACGTTTGACAGCATAATATGCACCTCTCCTTTTCGAGATGATGGTGTATTTAAGCAGCTATTAGTGGTTTTCTTTTTTTTTCTTTCTTTATTATCATCATAATCTTGTTTATGTTACATTGGATTGCATATAACTTTACAGTGTATTACATTGCTTTTTCAAAAGGGAATGCCATGCATGTCAGTCAATTCAGAGACATTAATCTCCCCACTTCATCATTCAATATCTTTTCATTGTTTTTCCCAATCATTATTATTATTATTCCAATTACTTTTTTAAATAGTCAATCACTATTTCTCATTTTGCTTGTAAAAAGGCTTTACCCATCATGAAATACTTCTCAGACCAATCCAGTTGAGAATACTATACATGTCATCATCAACAGGTAATAAGCCATATCTGTTTCCCACTAATATCCTGCCTCTCTCTTTGTTCTCTTGCTATCTTTCTCTATCCTCTTCTCTTCACACCCCCCCCCATTTCACACTGTCTTGTTTTCATTAAGTACTTTCACTGCTTTTATGTCCTCCAATATTTCGCTCTCTACCATGGTTTTCTAGGAGTTGCAGTGATCTTATGCCACAGTGATAGAACCTGAAGCCTAATATAGAAGTCTGAGTTTTTGTGTGAAAATTTTCCATTTTGTCAATACCTTATAGCAAAATCCTCTTTCCGAAATAAAAATAAAACACACACACACACACAAATACCTGCAGTTGAAATTTGGCCTTTAGTCTACAACTTCTGTTTTATGTTGATTCCATTATTTCTATCTCAGTAACAGCTCAAAGGGTGAGCGGGGTGTATGGTGAAAATGAGTATAAAGAACCTGGCTTGAAACTGTTTGGAATGTTATTATCATTTTTTTCAAATACAAATTGTGCTATGAGTTTTCGTAGCATTTACTCAATTATCTGGACTAAGACAGGTGAAGTTACTTTTATAATAATTATGGACTTACAAAGCTTCAAGGACATGTAGGACCTAAAAACCTTTACAGTCCTAGATTTCTGGGAAAGACTGAAATAAACACCTCATTCTTTGGAGTATCATTTTAATTGTTAGAACTAGATGTTCCTTCTGTAACTGCTGACAATTATTTTCTACCATTTCCTACTTTCATCAGAACATACAAATTTAGATAATTATAAGTGCTTTTATCAGCAAATGAAAGAAAAAAATTAATTTTCTACAAAGGATTCAATTTAGCACAGGAAATTTGGGAGTACAATAAATATTTCAAATCAATTTTACAATTTGGTAACTTTGACCAAGTGTTACAGGTAAGGTTTTTATTATTCATAGAAAACACTATTTAGACAAATGTTAATATATTTTCTTTGAAATCCTGTCTGTTGAAAGGATGTTTTTTTCTTCTAAATATTGTTAGCTAATAATAATTAAACAGCATAATAAATTTACTTGATCTTTACAATGACTCAAAATGGACAGTTAATGTTAAATGTGAATTGCTTTATATACAAAGTGAGTTTATCTACTACAATTACATATAAATTAACCTCTTAACTGTACAAATAAATAAACTCAAATGAATTGGCAGAACAATTTGGCTTTTTTATTATTGACACTTAACTACACAAATTACTTAAAAATTAAAAAATATATTTATTTACTTCATTTTCCCAATCAGTTGAAATACGTATTGTCCCTCTTATAATAGTTGTTTTTGTAAAAGAGTAAGTTGCTAAAAAGTTATGTACTAAATGAAATCTGTAGAACGAATTTATGCTTTCCCACTAGTTTACATTATAAAACTGGATATGAAATTTTAATAAAAATATCTTCTCTTACATTCAAATACAAATTAGGAGGCTTTTAGTATGCTTGGCACTTTAGAATTTTAGCATTCTTTTTTTTTTTTTTGGAGAGGTTTTCGCTATAGGGCGCGTGTGCTCGTCAGACAGAGAGAGACATAGAGACAGAAAGCGAGAAATCACCCCCCAGGGGGGATGGTCATGCTGCAATCCCTTCTCCTCTGTACTCCTCTCGGGATCTTGGGCACGCATGCACACGCGCCCAGCGTGAGTTTTAAGCCACCAAGTCCAGTAGGCGAACCACAGTCGACTACGGGGGAGTCCAGTGACATAGCCATTACGCTAACTGCTGATTCCCAGAATTTTAGCATTCTAAGAGTACATTCTAATAAAAATCTATTTTGAAGTTTACATACACTATGCTATCATACACACACACACACACACACACACGTTCACACACAAACTAAAAGCTTTATGCAATACAAGAGGACTTTTAAAAGTTTATGTAAATTTAGAATAAAGTATGAGATCATTATGGTGCAAAAAGTTTTTAAGTTTATACATAGTTTCTTTTTTTAACAGAGAATTTTACATTCTTTTCTCTCTTGTTTCTTCCCTTTGACTCTCTCACCCACCCTCTACCACTCACTCCCTTCCCTTATAGTCTCTGGTATCTACACTTATCCTCTCTACTCTCCTATCTTGGGATCTTTCAAATTCTGCCACAGAGTCCAGACATTCAGTATATATTGAGTATCTTTCAAAGTCTGGCTCATGTCATCATGTCACATAACATTAAGTCTTCTATATTCATCCATTGTCAATTAAATAATAAGGTCTCATTGTTTCTTAAGGTTGAGTAATATTCCATAGTATATGTGTTTCCCAGTATTTCAACCCAGTCATTAGTTTTTGGACATTAAGATGGGTTGCATCATAGTTTTTTCTTTCTCTCTTTTTTAAGGTTTTTTTTGCCATAGGGCATGTGCACTCACCAGAGAGAGACAGAGAAAGACAGAGAGAGGGAAAATAAGAAATCACCCTCCCCAGGGAGAGTGTGCAGCTATGCTGCCATCCCTTCTCCTCCATTTTCCTCTTGGGATTTTGGGCATGCATGCATACATACATACATTATTTTCAAGCTGCCAGGTCTGGGTCTCGAATTGCCATCATCCATGTGGGAATCCAGTGCTTTAACAACCATGCCACCTGCTGGCCCCTCCCTTGTAGTCCCTTGTAGATTTTTTTTTTTTTGAGAGGTTTTTGCTATAGGGCGTGTGCACTCGCCAGAAAGACAGAGAGAGACAGAATGTGAGAAATCTCCTCCTGGGGGCATGGCCACGCCGCAATCCCTTCTCCTCCATTCTCCTCTAGGTATCTTGGGCACACACACACATGTGCCCAGTATGAATTTAAGCCACTGGGTTCAGGACTTGAACCACAGTTGACTACATGGGAGTCCAGTAACAGTCATTATGCTAACTGCTAGTCCCTTCTTTGTAGTTTTTTAGTAGCACACATTTTCCATAAAGTATTTGAAGACCTTTTGTATCTTCACACAGATTCCATTTTGATTTGTAGGTGATTCTTGGCTTTAGCTAGAAAACTTGCTTTTAATTCTAGGTAGAATGCCCAACTGTTTTGGTTGCCCTCAATGAAGGGATTCCCTAGGACACAGGACTTGAATTACTAAAACTACGAGAGTCCCAAGAAACTTCTGGAGTGTTAGTCATCTTAGTTCTAGAAGAAGAAGCAAATTTAACCCATGAGACTTAAAAAAATACTGTAAATATAAGAAACTGGTAATCTATACTAATGCTTTTTTCCTATATTTTGTATAAAATTTTTCCTACCATATGTATTGAGTTTTCTTCAGGAAGAAAAATGGAATAATAGCTTCTCACAACTCATGGGAAATTTAAAAGCTATGTAACCTCATAACCATATATTACCCATGAGAATATAAAGGCCTAGAAAGGTAAACAGATTAAAAAAAATGATCAAACAGTAGTGGCAGGATAATAACTGGAACACAAGTCTTTGGAGTCCAAGAGAATGCAGAATGGAATCTCTTCAAACTTAGAAAAACTTCCGTGTCTACAAATGCAGGTCTTCAAATACTTTACAAAAAATTAGTACTGTTAAAAAACTACAAGGAAGGGGCCAGTAAGGTGGCATGGTTAAGGCACTGGATTCCTACCTGGCTGCAAAATTATAAATATCTCCAATTTTTTTTTTTTTTTTTGGAGAGGTTGATGCTACAGGGCACGTGTGCTTGCCAGAAAGACAGAGAGAGACAGAGAGACAGAAAGTGAGAAATCATCCCTCAGGGAGAGATGGCCATGCCGCAATCCCTTCTCCTTCATTCTCTTCTCAGGATCTTGGGTACGCACGCACACGCGCCTGGCATGAGTTTAAACCAGCAGGTCCCGGACTCGAACTGCGGTCAACTACATGGGAGTCCAGCGACATAGCCATTATGCTAACTGCTGGTCCCTTTTTAATTCTTTTTTCTTTTGTTTGGAAATATCCAAATAATTTAAATAAAACTTGATTTTTACCTAAAATTTCTCTCACGTGAAGTCTATAAAGGTCTTGTTGGATTGAATTATCCAGATGGCTTTAGTTTGCCACTTAAATTTGCCTGTACATAGGAACTGCATCAGACTCAGTCAAAGACTCAGTGATACCCTGGGATCCTGGAATTACCACTAATGTAACCCACAAAATGTCCTATATAATTTTCCAGATAGAATTTAAACCTGTTAATTCTCTATGACGAACATTACAAATTGAATTTTTCAAAAGAATTATTTTATTTAACTTTATTTATTTATTTACTTATTTTTTAATTTTATGAGAGAGAGAGGAGAGACAGAGAGCGAGCGAGCAAGCAAGCTGCCAGGTTTGGGGCTCAAACCGTGTTTGGCCTTGGCCATGTGGGAGTCCAGTGCCCCTAACCACCACACAACCTGCTGGCCCCACAAATTGAGTTTTGAATCATGGAAAACGTATAAGTGGAGATAAAGATTTACTGGGTTAATTAAAATTTCCACTTACAATTTGCAAAAGAAAACATTAAATAACAAATGTAAACATACATGGAAAGCTAAACAGCTGGCAAAATCATGAAAGTAAACCTACCTTTGCTGTTTAGAAAATATAAATACAAACAGCATCACTGTTAGCCCAAATATTCCAAAGATGACAATTAAGAACCATGGAAAACGAAAATCTGAAACATATAAAAACATTTAATTCACAGAATTATGAATGGCTGAGGCAGAGTTTACATTTCACTTTCCCTATTGCGTTCTAACTGAGCAAAGTCAATGATTCCCTTGATTCCTACTGAAACAGAATGCAATGGTTTAGGATTAATTTCTGTTCTAAGAATACTTCTGCCATTTTTTACGTCCTTTCATATTAAGAAAAACTTAAAAAATAAAGAAACTATATACAGTTCATACATGATATATGTTTTTTCAAAAATAAAATGACCTGTTCTAGACATTATGTACCCAGAGAGTATCATTACAGGCTTCAGCTCTAGGAAAAAGTCTTGCTGGCTAACACTAGCCCTAAACAGTGCTTGCTTGGTTCATTTTTTATTTTAACATGAGGTGATATTTTTTAGCTTCCAGATTGAGAAACTGTCAAAAATACAGGGGTAGAGTTTTAATTTATGATCATGGCAGAAACGTTTTAGACATGAGACATATATTGTACACATGCAGACATATACTACATATATCTACATATCTATATACCATGAAATATATATTTTATACATATACTTTTCCTAAATTAAATAGTTGGGAAACAAAACCCTCCTTTTGCAATGTATAAGACTTCTTATAGAGAGTGAGTTTCAGCTCTCTCAACCCTGGTATGTGATGTTAGTATATTTTGATCTAGACAACAGGCTAACTGTACAGGGATCTGTCAACTTTTATATTGACAACAGTTGTGTTAGCTGCCATTTAATTTTTTTTTTTTTTTACCTTCTTCACACGTAAGTGCGCTCATTTGAGGAAGAGTTACACAGAGCACCTCACTGAACTCGCCATATTTTTCAGAGTTTCGTTGTCTGGATCTCACACGCACTTCGTATTCTTTATCCAGTCTCAATGAGTACACTGGAACCGATGTTGACAACACAGGGTCCATCTTTCAAGATAAAATATAGAAGCTTATTGGCTAGAGTCACAGAGTCAGTGCAAACAACTCTAGGAGTATTTCTCCACTTGTATTCAGAATGGATTTCTATAAAATGGGAAATATTTTAAGGTGCACTGCCGGAGTTTGCTATTTAAAGGAAGATTATGCCAAATAATTATGCTAAGTATCATTTTGTTAAATGGGTAACTTATATATCAAATTCATTCTAATATAAATACAAATATATCATAGAGTGATTAAAGAAATGCAGCTATATCTTTAGAGTGGGATGTGAAATATTCTACTAAGATTGAAACACTAGAATGATTATAAATGGCAGAACTATAAGAACTACAGATATGCTGCCTACATATTCGTGGTATCACAGTTTTGTATATAGGAAGACACAAGAACAGAAAAACACAAACCTATTTCCAAACCAAAACAAATAACAAATCAAGCATCTACGTTCTTTGTAAGTTCTGGGTATTCCTTCATATAATCACAGAATTAGAAATGGTCTTAGAAAAATCATAGTTAACTTTATTAAACTTTTTAATGATTTTATTAGAAGCAACTATATCTCTAATTTTCTTGTTCTAGAAGGCTAAAAGGCTCATCAAAATAGTCTACTATTCAAAATCTGCAAAGAAAAGTCATTGGAGTCCTTTGGTGATGAGCATCAGGTTCTCACAACCTTTAAGCTCAGGATATACCTTTACCTCCTCAAAAAGGGTAGAGTGAAAGTATTAAGCTAATTTGACATATTATTATAAAAAAGGTAGACTAGTGATGTTTTCCTCCAGGTCAAATACTCAAATCGGGTATTCAATTTGCTTTTCATTTATTTTTGAGTAGTAAACCTTGTTCTTGTTTATGGAAGACTTGAAACATTCACTTTGTTCAACAGCATGGATTTTCACATAAATACAATTCTTATAATGTGTTTTATTACATCAGCAACTGAGCCTTTGACTTCCAAAGTAAATTTTCTTTCATACCATTTAGCTTTTACTCACAAAGTACCTCCTTTTCCTTCTGTATACAAGAAATGTTTTGTTTGGGTCTTTTGTAGAGACCTCGCAAATATGGAATGTTTACATGCCTAAAATGCTTTAAGGCAGGATGATGAATATTAAACTTAAAACATCCTTAAAAGCCTATGTTTCTATCTTAAAGCCTTAATTTCTCTGCTATTGTCACCAGTACCATTTCTTTACAGATTTTAATAAAAGAACTAGAAAGTAGCCCTTAGTGATTGGACCTGTGGCCCTTCTCCATCTTCCCTCAACCTCAACACTAGTCAAACCAAGCTCACATTTTCTCACACGGCTCCTACCTAGGCAAACCTAGCCACCTGCCTGCGTGGGGATACTTAAACCTCGTTCAGTCCTCAGTGTGAGTATTGAGTATTCCTGATCCTCTAAGCCTTTCACAAACTTTTCTTCATTCCACCCTCCCAGATACTAAACTTACTCTATTTCTTATCCTATTTCACTGCTCACATTTAAGTACACAGTCTTTCTATACTACACTGCAGATTTGCTGAGGAAACTCATTATCTTTCATTTCCAAAGCCCAGCACAATATTAACTATACAGTGGGTGCCCAAGATATGGCCTTGACATTGTGAATAATCCTATGACTTTTTTTTTTTTTTTTTGAGAGATTTTTGCTATAGGGTGTGTGCCCTCATCCGAAAGACAGAGAGACAGAAAGCAAAAAATCACAGGGATGGCCATGCTGCAATCCCTTCTCCATGTTCTTCATTGTTCTCATGTACCTGACCAAAGGTGGGAGTTTCATGGTTGTGCCTCAGCTAGGCATAATTACACGCCATGGGCTTCCAGAGCTGAAAGTATGATCACTCAGTCTACGAATGCTAATGTTCTGATTTACACTTTTGTCAAATGTTTCGTTTCAGGGCCCCTTAATGCTCTTAAAGTCATAATGGTCTTCAGTCTAAATTACTGAAAAGTCTAAAGATTATTATTTGGTTAGGTTATACCTATCACTATATACCATGTTAGAAATTGAAGTGAAAAAATTTTAGATTTCTAATTAAAAAATTAAAATAAATTGACTTTAGGTTAATATAAGTAATGTATTTTAATAAAAAATGATTAAAAAACTTACCAAGCAACAAATATTAGGGAAGAACAACACTTTTAACACTTTTGAAAATCTCTTTAATGTCAAACATAATATACGATGGCTATATTTTTATAACTGCTTTTGAATTAAATGTGTGTTGTAGTTTTGGTTGAAATACATGAATAAAATCTGGCCTGATACAGATATACAGTGAAAAAAAGGAGGAATATTTAATAATCTCTTCAGATATTTGTGGAAATTCTTCTTTCACATAAATATTCCAAAGCAGAAATGGTAGTTTGTCAAACATTAGCTGTAAAGAGACATTTGAAATCATATCAATGAGCCTTTCATACTTTGTTACATTAAAAGTCATTATTTCTCACCATGAGACCTGTCCTGTAAGAAATGTCTAAAGGGAATTCTTCAAGCTGGAAGAAAGGGATGCTAATTAGTAACACAGAAGCATATGAAAGTATAAAGCTCACTGATAAAACTAAGTTCATAGTCAAATTTATAATGCTCTAATACTATAATGGTGATGTACAAATCACTTATACTTTTAGTATGAAGTTAAAACGCCAGACAATTAAAAATGACTATAGTAATTTGTTAAGGGAAATATAATATAAACATACATTAAGTAAAATATGATAGTAAAAATTTAAATTGTAGGGAATTTTCGTATGGGATCAAAGCAAAATTGTTAGCTTAAAATATCCTGTTGTAACTATAATATGTTTTATGTAAGCCTCATAGTAATCACAAAGCAAAAGTCATAGTAGATACAAAAAAAAATAAAAAAAAAACACTAAGAAATCAAAGCATACCACTAGAGAGAGAAAAATCACCTATCACAAAGGAAGATAGGAAGTGGAGAAAGAAATAAAGGATCTACAAAGCAAACAGAATCCAATGAACAAAATGGAAATATGGTAAGTCATTAACTCTCAATAATTACCTTGAATATAAACAGATTACAGGAGTAGCCATACTTACACCAAATAAAACAGAATTTAAGTCAAATATTAAAAAAGAAAGACACTAGATAGTGGTAAGGGAACAATTCATCAAGAGGACATAATGATTATAAAACATGTGCACCCAACATTGGAGCATCCAGTTATATAAAGCAAATATTAATAGATGTAAATGGAGAGACAGACTATAATACAATAAGAGGGGATTTCACTATCCCATTTTAAGCAATGGAAAGACCATCTGTACAGAAAATCAAGAATAAACTGCACTTCGGACCAAATGGACCTAACAGACACATAAGAACATTCTACTCAACAGCAGCAGAATATAAAGTATTCTCAAGCACATAGAGAACATTCTCCTGGTATACTAAGGTCTCTGGACTTGAACTGAGAACCTTTCCAAGTGAGATTGCCTCACAGTGCTTCATTTTATCACTATGCCACTATCTAGATCCAAGACAGTAAAATTTAAGTGTTAGTAACACAGAAATAAGTATGAGGTAATGCATATATTATCTTGATTAAGCCATTCCAAAATGAGTACATATTTCAAACCATCATAATGTACACAATAAATATATACAATTTTTACTGGTAAATGAAAAAACTTCACTATTCATTTAATATTTTTAAAGTATCATTTCCTCATGTATGGTATTGGTTACATGATATATCGGTCATTTCAATAATATTCAATAATATTAGTTCACTGAGTTATGCAGATTTTCTAAATGTTTATATTTAGAAAAATGTTACACTTTTTTTTTTTAGAGAAAGACTTTTGCTCAAGGGCACATGTGCTTGCCAGAGGGACAGAGAAAGAGACAGAGAGACAGAAAGTGAGAAATCACACCCCAGGGGTGATGGCCACATCTCAATCCCTTGTCTGCTATTCTCCTCTCAGGATTTTGGGCATGCATATACTTGCACCCGGTGTGAGTTTTAAGCTGCTGGGTCTGGAACTTGAGCCACAGTTGACAATGTGGGAGTTACAACACCTGTTGTCCAATGTTACTCATTTTATTGTATAATGTAAATTTTTTCAAACTATTATCACTATAGATTTCATCAGAAAAGTCCTCAAACACTATCAAATTCATGTTCACAGAGATAAGTTTCCAAAATCTTTTTTACCTTGAATGCTCAAAAATTTTTAATTGACAACAAATTCTGTCAGTTGTTTCAGTTGAAGTGACACATTCACTTCATTCTTTATATTGTTATTATATTAAATTGACAAGTAATAACTATATTTATTTATAAGATATAGTATAATCTATTAATACAAATATACAATGTGTCATGATGAAATCAGGGAAATAATCGTATTGATCACCTCAAACATTTGTCGTGTGTGTGCATGTGTATGCGTGTTGGGAGTGTTCAAAATCCTCTTTTCTAACTTTATTGAAATACATAGCACATTGCTGTTTCATATAGTCCTCCATTCCTCCTATCTAGCTGTGTTTTTATACCCATTAACCAAACTCTCCCAATCCTTCCCTTGCTCCTGTCTTTCCCAGCTTCTAGTAACGAATGTTCTTATTACTGCTCTCTAATTCCATGACACCAAAGTTTTTTTTAGCTTTCATGCAGTGAGAATGTATGGTGTTTTTCTTTCTGGCTTATTTCACTCAACATAAGACTCATACATGTTGCCACATGCAATGGTTCATTGTGAGTGTCAACTTGATTAGATTGTACAGCTAGTGAAACACTGCTTATAGGTATGTCTGGGAGAGTATTCCCAGACAAGACTGGCATGTGAGTCAGTAGATGGAGAGAGGAAGATCTGTCTTCAAAGTGGGCAGGCATCTACTAATCAGTTTGAAGCATGGGAAGGAAAAGCAGAAGAAATGTTTTTCTGTTTCCTCTCTCCCTCCTTTTAGCTAGAATCTTCCTTTAAGACTGTGTTGTGTGTTCCACTCACACATATCTGACTGCTCTTCCCTACTCCTCTAGATCCTTGGTTCTGTTTGTTCCTGCCAGCTCTAGGACTCTGCGTCCCTTCAGCTGATTGGACTCCAAGTTTATTAACCTTTGGACTCTGTACTCTACCAGTGAAATCACAAGGTGATCAGGCACATGGCCACCTGAGGGTCTCCCCTTGTCCTTAGACTGGAACCACACTAGCTTCCCTGCTTTTGAGTTTTGCAGGTGTTTCGCTAGCTTTCAGACAGCCTACCATGGGATGTCACCTTTTGATCAGGTGAGATGATTCCTATAATAAATCCCTTCTTTTACATATGTTTATCCTGTTAGTTCTGTTTCTGTAGAAAACCCTGAATGACAAGATTTCATCCCTTTTTTAATAGCTGAGTAATAATCCATTATGTATATATTCCACATTTTCGTTATTCATCTGTTACGATGACCAGTAGAATAGGAGAAAATGTTTGAAAATTATACATCAAATAAGGGATTAGTATCCAAAATATACAAGAAACTCAAACAAGTCAACAGCAAAAAATGCCAAACAATCCAATTTAAAAAATAGACAAATGATCTGAACAGACATTTCTCAAAAGAAGACATACAAAGGACCAATAAGTATATGAAAAACTGCTCAACATTGGTAATCATCAGAGAAATGCAGATCGATATCAGAGTGAAATACCATCTCAGAATAGTTAAAATAGCTATTATCAAAACCAACAAAAACGCTGGCAAGGATATGGAGAAAGGGAACTCATACACTTCTAGTTAGAGTGTAAATTTATACACCGCTATGGAAAACTGCATGGCAATTCCTCAAAAAACTAGAAGTACCATATGACCTAGTAATTCCAATTTTGTGTATATTTCCAGAGGAAAGGAAGTTCTTTTTTGAGAAGGTATCTGCATTCTCACATTTCTCATATTTCTTGCAGTACTATTCACAATAGCCAAGATATGGATCAACTTCATTTTTTTTGAGAAATGTTTGGCAACTGAAATAAGAATAACCATCTACCATTTTATCAGCCATTCTTTCAAGGAAAAATGGTGTTATGTGCACAAAAGCCCCTAGTTCAGCTGGCAACTCAGTCATTTGAGAACTTTTCCTCAAGACAATCATTAGCTCCTCATTATGAAGAAGTCTTTTATATGTATTTCCCATGTGTAATACAGAATATTAAAACAATACATACTTGAAGATAAATATTTAATAAAATTAATAATTTTTACAGCTTCATCAAGCACATTCTTATGCGAAATTGGTTTTTTCTACCTTCTGTACTGTGAGCATATGGTGTAAAAAATACAGTGACTATTAGTAATGTTTGGTGCTATTGCCTGGATTTGTGCTAAGCTGTCAGCAGTCATCCTTTTGTAGCATCAGTGTAAATGTTAGCACAATGAAAACAGGAAATCACATCTTAGTATATGGTGAAAATAGTATTCTCCTTGAGGTGTTAGTGACCCTCATGGTCCATAGTTTATACTTTGATAACTGCTGTACCAAGTACCTAGCAAAGGCATTGTGCACAACATTTATTTCAATACCTGGTTGCTGAATAAATGTTTGACAGTAGCTTGGATTTAGAAAATATTGTTGACTTAGCATTCAACCAGGTTTTTTGCATCAAGTTATAGAACAAGTATCTAAATTAAAATGACTGAAAAAGTGTGACACATATACCCTATGGAATACTACTCAGGCATAAAAAAACAATGAGATCCTAGCATTTGATAGAAAGTGGACAAATATGGAAGATTTCTTCTTAAGTGAAGGAAGCCAGACTACAAAAGAGAAGCATTGTATGTTCCCACTTAATATATACTGTACGTCTACACTCTATGGCAGAAACTGAAATACTGGACAATATAAAGGCATGGAAAGCAACTATGGATACCACAGTGTGGGAGGATGGTGGGAAATATAAGAAGGTGAGAGGGAGGGAATCAAGGGGAAAACAAAGAAGTAAAAAATAATTAAGAAACACAAAATGAAAAATTATCTGTTGAAGATAATAAGTATGGTAATATCTTTGAGACAATATATAGTGTATTCTGGATAGGAAAATTCATTTTGTATGCTGTAATGATATACAGTGAATAAATGTAAAATTATAAAAAAAGAAAAGACTAAAAAAAATTTTCAGAAAACAGAACCTCAAAGATCAGCATCCTAACTGTTCAAAGCTGCTCCAAGCTATTTTCCTCTAATGACAAAACTGGCTTCTTTTTTGGTGGTTCACTGAATGGACAGGGCCTGGTGTCTCAAAATTCTGGATGTGAGCTGTGCCAGCTCTGAGAACAACCTGATGACTGGCCAGAAACTGCTTGGGTTGTCCAGGGATATGGTTATGGTTAGACTGATTTAGAATTAGTTATATTGCGAACAGCACAATAATCCCGTTTTTCTTCTTGTAGTGTGCCATGTGGAATTTATCTGAGTGCTGTGTTTCCATACACTTGGCAAGGAGAGGTTCAGAAGTCAACCAGCACCACACTCGCTGCTTGCTTATGTAAAACACTCTTGGCTTGATTCTTCTCTGAAAACTGTAACAAAAAATCTTTCTGAAACCTCAAAGGGACAAATTCTTTCCTTGCATTTCTCTTTAGGAAACACTTACAAACTCATTTTAATGAGGGTCTTGCAAGTAGCAGCAACTAAAACCGTGGGAGAACATTTGGCCATAGCCCACTGTTGACCTTGACGGATCATATCCCTTTGCCACATTCCCAAAGACCATTAAGAGGCCAGCCTATGACTGCTCTAAAGTTAGCATGGACATCAAGGATGACTAGACGACAGTTTTCTTTTTACTTCCACAGGGTTTTTGTTTATTTGTTTATTTGTTTATTTTATTTTTTTAAGGTTCCCCCCCACACACACACACACTTAGGGTGCATGTGCTCACAGAGAAGCAGTGACAGAAGCAGTGAGAAATCATCCCCTCCTCCCAGGGGTGATGGCCCCAGCACACACCACAATCAAGATCTTCTTCATTCTCTTCTCGGGACTTCAGGCGCACACACGTGCCTGGCGTGATTGCAGGCTGTGAGGTCCAGGACATGATCAACCATGTGGAAGTCCTGCACTTTAACCAGCACAGCACATACTGGCCCTCCTTCCATAGGCTTTCATGCATATAAGTTCTAAGCAAGCATCTGCTGTCTCACAGAATTACAAGAGGCTATTTTAATGATCGTATCTGTTTCCTTCAAGTAAGAAATTATGGAGCACATAGTGTGAACATGAAGTCTAAATATAAATGACAGAAGGGTTGTGGACACAGAAGAAATGTCAAAGTGCAAGACTTAGTGACATCTTACCATTTTCCACTGAGTTTCATTTGCTTCTTTGTATTGAAGTTCATATTCCAGGACTATCCATCCCTTATGAACATCTGCATTGGGTGGTGGTTCCCATCTCACTTGGATATCTGCATGAATCCCAGTTAAACTGATGTTCAGTAAAGTCCAATTAAGGCCAATGGGTGGATCTGGTTGCACTGTGTAATTCAACAGAGAATTAGTATATACAGAAACACATATGTGGATATTAATGGAGTACTTTCTTCTGAAGAGGTCAAATTAATTTCTTTAATTTTTATCATTCATATTTGTAATTCTTCCAGAATTCTTGTAACTCTCACTTTATAAAAGAATATCATGTTTATAAGAATGATCTATTTTTAATGAAGCTTCCAATATTCCTTTTGAGTCTAAATCTGATCTGTAACTTATTTTGAAGATCTGTCATATTTTACATTTCTTTTAACTTTGACAGCATTAATGCTTTTGGATTTTGGCAAAGGAATTCCTTTTCATTCAGAACAGAAGGAATAAAGGCAGAAAGACCTATAGTATTCAAACATGAGGCTACTTTGGAACAAGGGGTAGAGGAATTTTTTTTCTTCTACTTTATGTATGGCCCAGGGCAAGGAATTGTCTTATTCATTTTTATGTTTCTAGTACAATCTTTCTGAAGACCCTGCAAGTGCTTCTTAACTTTGTCATTTTCCTAGCCACATGTGATTATTTCTTCAGACATAAGGACAGCACTCTGTTATACTCTTAAATAGTAAAAATTCAGTGTTTTACTTTGTCTAACTGTCATATGAACAATTTGAAATAGAGTTTTGCTTGGTTTCTACTGATATACTCTATGTTCTCAGGGAAATCTGTTGCATTCTACTTATTAGAGTGATAAGACTGGACATGGTGTTGCCTGCCCTATGGCAAAAACCAGTGGCGTGATAAGATCACAATTTCACAAAGGTTGATGAAGAAAAATATGGATTTCAAAGCTAGGAACTATACTTAAAATTATTCTAGGTAGTTCTGAGTAAATTATTGTTAGGTGTCATTAGTGAGAACTTTGAAAATCATTTGTAGATAAGTACAATGTAAAAGTTACTTTCCCTTTTGCCATACGCAGGTCATTTAGAATGTTGTGGAATGGATCCTGAGGTTTGATCAGATATGAGCCTCTAGATGCATGGAGTGAGGAGCTCTTATGAGCAGTCAAATCTGGTAGCTAGAGAGGGAAGCTCTGGTATTGATCCAGAGTGGAAACAGACTTTACAGAGGAGGTACATGCTATTGGCCACTTTGAAGGAGATGACACTTTTTTTTTTTTTATTAAATGGATAAGTCCAAATTTGACTAATAATGATTACATTTTGGAAATTACATTAGAAGAATGGGTAAAAATGACCAAATTATATGTGCCCACATGATGGCAGTAATACCTTACCCTTCTGGATTTGTTGGGAACTGAGGACTCCTGATAACCGAAACAACCATTTAAGTTACCAAATTATCAAAATGTTTTTGATGGAAACCTTCCTAAAATTTATTACTCATGTTACCTCTTCAAACTTTCATTTTCCATTTTAAATAGGTGATATAAGACAAGGTGCTCCTGGAGTCTTATAATCTCTACATTAAAATTGCAACCTTTCCAATGCCCCTATTCTCTTTCTCTACTTCAGTGTCTCTTTCCATTTCGCTGAGATGAAATCTTACTAGGGTAGACACTTTCTGTCTTCAGCACGTAGAACACTGCCTCTGGCCCACGGAAAGGGCACAATAAATATTTGCTGAATGAAGTGAATGGATGGCAAATTTAATATGTTGCTTTACATCCAAAGAATAATCCTGTGAGCAAGTAGGATACATAATACACAAGGAAATCAAGGCTTGTAGTGACTGACATCTTTCTCTAGTTCTGTTAGTCACTTCAGTTCTTTGCTCTTTCTCACTCTCAGCTTGTCCCCTCCCCCACTATTGTTGTATTTCTGCCTCTCATCATCTTTTGATGTGATTATCACAAAGTCTTCCAATCTATTTAGTCTGTCCTTATCTAATATACCCCTCCACATGCAGCGAGATTAATTTCTCTGAGATATTAATCACCTGACAAGTGGAACTGTGTAGCCTTGGAATTAAAAGCATGGATTCTGCAACCATGCTGTTTAGATTTGAATCCCCGTTCTACTTACTGTCTGACCTTGAGCTGGCTATTTAACTTTTCAGCTTCATCATCTGTAAAATGGAGATTATCCTAAAACCTGTCTCACAGGATTATTCTACCTGACACACGGTAAATCCTTTGTGAGTGTTAGTTATTACTATCCTCAGGTCATTTTCCTGCTTAGACACCTGCAAATGCACCCCTTGGCAGTAACATAAAGTTCAGACTCCTTTGTGGGCCACACAGATGGCTGATATTTCCAGCTGACCAGATGAGCCAGCCTAACTGCTCCTGAGTCCCTGAACATTCTGCGCTGTTTGTCACTTTTGGTACTTGGTAGTTGTTGGAAAGAACAGTCCTGGGACCAGCATTTAGTGTAATGGCCATGTCGCTGGACTCCCATGTAGTCGACCGCGGTTTGAGTCCTGGACCTGGTGGCTTAAACTCACACCGGGCGCGTGTGCTTGCATGCCCAAGATCCCGAGAGAAAAATGGAGGAGAAGGAATTGCAGCGTGGCCATTCCTGGGGGGGTGATTTCTTGCTTTCTGTCTCTCTGTCTCTCTCTGTCTTTCTGGTGAGCGCATGCACCCTATAGCAAAAACCTCTCCCCCACCCCCCCACCCCCCCAAAAAAAGAAAGAAAGAACAGTCCTGTGATACCTGTCAGCTCTCACTCATACTTTAGGAGGTAACTGAATTGTCACCATCTCTGTGTCACAATTTGTTAACCCTCGAGCCTAATCATTCATGCCTTTGGTCACCATCTCAATCACTATGCACCCCACACACCTCCAGACCAGCCCCCATCATTCTGTACTGCAGTTATTTGTGAATATGCTTGACTTTTCTACTTGACTGTATCTTACTCATTTTGTAACCACCACACCCAGAACTGTACCTGACACACGACAGGTCCTCAGTGAAAACCCAGTAGATGAGTAAGGCTAGTTATTGGCAGAGATAAGGCTAAAAGTTTTTCTGAACCCAGATTCTTACTACTACCCAATTTTGTTTTAGTTCAATAGTTATACCCACTGATGTTAAGAGATGTAATAGTCTCTCCAAATGGTGCAATAATATGATCTTTTCTGCTTATTACAGTTTTCTCAATCTTCTCCCTCAAAGTCAAGCTATCAAATTTTATTTGTTTCTGTCTGCAGCTTGTAGCCACATTCTCCCAATCTCTTCCAGGCTGCTGATGCTTGGGAAACCACATATAAGAACAACACATCTGGGAGAAGTAATAAGGAATTCCTATATGCAACAAACAAGATTTTGTGGATAAATTTTGAGCACCAAGGTCATATACTCAAAGTCCTTCTTTGAGTCTTTCTAATTTGCTGTTTATACTATTAGAGTATAAACATGTATATACTAATTACAGTTGTTTGTTTTGCTTTGTTTTTCATTTTCCCTCAAGTCCACAAGAGGGGCAAAGGATCATCTGTTTGGATCTTTTACTTCATTGAGCTATCTCCAATGTTTGTTTTGAGATCTTATAAACATGCCTTTAGACTGACTGTGACTGTTTTATAAATGTAAAATTCCAGAGTTATTATGCTTTATGATAAAGAAAGTCTAGGCTTTGATTATAGCAATATTAGATTCAAAGTTGAAAATATTTCAGCAGCTCTGAATAGAATAATAATATCAAATAATTAGGAAAGAAAGAATCTTAAAAACACATTGAGTTTACCATTTGCAGTAACACTCAAGAATTCAATCTAGCTAGGGAACCAGCAGTTAGCGTAATGGCTATGTCGCTGGACTCCCACGTAGTTGACTGCAGTTTGCATTCCGGACCCGGTGGCTTAGAACTCACGCCAGGCGCGTGTGCGTGCGTGCCCAAGATCCCGAGAGGAGAGTGGAGGAGAAGGGATTGCGGCATGACCATCCCCCCTGGGGGGTGATTTCTCGCTCTCTGTCTCTATGTCTTTCTCTGTCTGGCAAGCGCACGCGCCCTATAGCAAAAACCTCTCCAAAAAAAAAAAAAAAAAAAAAAAAAAAAAAAAAAAAAATTAAATCCAGG